GCTACCCCCGGGCTGCGGTGGTTGGGATTACCCCCGGGCCCGGCCGGGTTAAGGTCGTGAGCAAATAAAACTATAAAACTAGATGTAAAATGGTGTATTCATCAAAACAATAGTCAGTACCTAGTTCTCTTTTTTCCCGTAATACGTATGTACATGTGCGATTCTCTCACACACGATTGATACCTACCATGGAATAAGCTCCATTAGTGCGACCCACACACGTTTCCAGATAACCCGGATATAGGGGAGAGTGGGGCAAAGCGGCCACCCTAACGTTTCTAACGATGCCGACGCTTGATTTTTAAACTTGGAAAGATTCTTTCTATACCAATGTGATTCCTATTAAATTGTCTTTTATTCCAACTGCGTTTCATTTCCAAAGGCGTTCACATATGGGAGATATTGACAAAACTTTAAACCTATAGCATATTGGCCACTTTGCCCCATCCCTGAGGCAAAGCGGCCACTGGCGACTTCTCAAGTCCCGATATGAGAAACAGAATAGTTGCCTCATGCACGACTAGGGTATTTGATGGTGACAAGGTTTAAGGGAAGATGGATGTTTACTTTGTTATCTTCCCACCTATTGCTAAACAAAGAAAGAATTTTCTTGGAAAAACATTTAATTGCATAATTTGGTAACTCATGTAACCGAAAAGTGGCCAAGATGAATGCATGACGACACATTTGAATATAAATAATGTTTTCATCCAGATGGAAACAACTTATGGCCAATTGGGGGCTGGCCACTTTGCCCCGGCCGCTTTGCCCCGCGCATACCGTCCGAGACAAAAATATTCCAGCTCAGCTATTAGTGGGGTAAAAAGCATTAAAATTGGTAGAAGGCATGTACGATAACCACGCAATGCATGGACAAAAACGCTTATAAAAATTCCAAACGGTTATGGAATAAAATAACATTTAAAAATTGTAAACATAATTGGTAACCTGGCAAGAAATGCTTTTCCGTGTTTCACAGAACAATGGCGATGGGCCTGAAACCCCGGTCTGGCTCATTCGAACGACCGCAAAGAGAAGTATAATTGGAAATCATAAATTGGAACTGACGCCAGCTGTGGAGGGCTAAAACGATGGATGGCCGCTTTGCCCCGGGTGGCCGCTTTGCCCCACTCTCCCCTACATACCTATCACATTTTGTCATACCTCCCTGAGCTCAGTCTCAGTCTAAGCCCTAAGGGTTCCCAAAAGAGGGTGATCTCTTCTCTGGCCGACTTTTGACAAGCTGCCTCTCAACCTCCTCGAGGTCAAGCTCGAGGGCAACCTTCTGGTGCAAATGAAAAAGAGTAGGAGGAGAATGAGTGGGAGTAGGAGATATGCGACAGACGGTCCGAGAACGAACGTTCTGCTGATGCACTTGATACGGGGACCGTCAAAAACAGGCATACTATTATGTTATTAACCGCCTATCATGAATGTTGCACCGGTCTTCTGTTCCCTTTTCAACATCAGCCAAATTTTGTGGGGGCAAAAACATAGTCTTGCCCCCACGGCCTCCTGCCAGTGGGGGCAGTCTGCCCCCACTGCCCCCACGGTGGCGCCGCCCTTGACTAGACTTCGACACCCCCTGGTACATTGGGTTAGATAATTCACATCCTTCGATGGAAATGGATATTTCATATTCGCACACAACTTGTTGGCTGTCATGCTAACTTGTCGCGTGACTCAAAATGTTAACACAAACAGTAGAAGGGGGTAGCGAATTTCGCCCACCAACCTTTGTTCAAGACAGCCTTGGAACGGCGGCGGGCGAGGCCGCCGTTTCTTTTGCATACCTGCCTACAGCTTAACCTGCTATCGGCGGACCCTGCCACCCGTAGTGGGGGGGGGGGGGCGTTTCGGCCCCCCTAAGATTTCGCGAAGTTACCAACCGATTTTCAAAATTCAAACGGCGTTCGATAGTCCCACCGAAAAACTACCTTGTGACCCAGTTTCATTGGCCTAGGTCAAACCGATGACGTCACAGGGCAGGCCAAAGGTCACACTTTACACCGTTTACATCATTCTACGACATGCGTTGCGGTGTTTTACAGTGTCTAACGTGTAGGGGGAGGGGGAGGGTCGGTTGGAGCCCCCTGTCGTTCGGCCCCTGATCGAGCTAGAGCTTCGCGGAAAAAAACGAGTTGTTTCCCGTGACGAGATGAAGCCGATGATATCCAATTTTAACCCTCGCCCTGGCAGGGGGTGGTCGATGCGACCCCCCCTAAGGTTTTACGAAAATAGCGTAAAAACGGCGGCGCGCAGCGCCGCCGCGCGCCAAATTTGGCACAGCCTATGGGGCAACCTTTTTACATATGACCTAAATATTTCAGGTCCGGGTGACCTTGGGTCAGGTCACCAGGTCAGAAAAACGGGTACAAGGTCATGGTCAAATTTCAATTTTCTTTTTGCACCTGTCCAACTCACAGTTTTTGACTGATTTCCTTCAAACTTTCAGAATGTGCTAAGTTCACCGAGTTGTATGACATATAGTTCGGGTTTTTTTAGGTCACTGACCTGAGGTTAGTTAGAGGTCATTACGTCGTAATGTTAAGCCTATGGGAAAATACTAAATTCGGAAAATACTGGAGATATCCGCTTCGTTCTATCACTTTTGTGCTTTGAAACCACAGTACTTAACAGCAGGTCACTTGGTGCTTCTTTGTTTGGTGTACCGTAAAGTGGGGCTATTTGAGACAGTGGGGCTATTTGAGACAGTAGAGTAGTGGTTTAGTAAAATCGCTGTAAAATGAAAACCGTTCGATATTTGTTCGTCATTTTTGCTTAGGCTGATGTGGAATTGAACAGTGAATGACCTGAATAACCTTTTTGAAAAATTTCGAAAAGTTTTGAAAGAAATTTGGTCTAAAATACGAAATACAGAAAAACGCACAATTTAAGTGGCTCGAAAAGGACCCCTACATGCCACTTAACATAGTTGAAATTTTAACAGCTTCGGCACTGCATCTATCGTTACTTCCGTTTTACTTATAGGCTAAGCACATTTTTCATGAAAATATTATACATTGTTAACGTTACTGCCGATTGCGTAACCCATTGTCTCAGAATCCCGATGATGCCCACCCGGTCAAACCTCAACCGATATGCCAAATAGCTACTGATAATGGTGATGCGATTGCACCCGAGAAGACTTACCACCATCTACTTGAAGTGCATCGAACGTTCGACATGAGTAACACCGATGAATTGGTCGTGGTCATAAACGTGCAGTGGGTTCATGGTATTTAGCAGGAAGCAATATTTACATGTTCGTAGTGTAACATAATGACCCTTTAGCTGGTGACCAAACTAGTTATTCTGATGAATATGTGCTTAAAATGTGCTTCATCAGTCACTTACTTAGTCGACAATAACACATGTCTACCTTGGTTGACCAAAAAACACCATTGAAGATTACTTAACACATGAACGTACTGTTAGGTGAGCCTATGCAAGTAGGCTTGATGTGGTAGGGTTACCGGCCAATTGATACAGCATGCAGCGATCGAGGAAAATCGTCATAAAATCAAAACCGCTTAACATTTTTCTGTTATTTCTTCGCATGAAGATGTGCAATGGAACAAGGAATCATGCAGACTATTCACTTAAATGTTTTGGGAAACCTTTTAGCTCGTTTGATTCATTACGGTGTGCTTCATTAGGTAGCGAGCCCGTCTCAAATAGCCCCACCGACTTTCAGTATGTCTGTTTTCACGCCACCAGGGCTATATACAAAAACTTTCTTTCAAAATTTTACTGTTGTTGTCTTTAGAATAGTCCCTGATGATCATTCTGCAAATTGGAAAGTTTAGGGTCACATCATATTATGACAGCCTTAGCATATAGTGATGCAATTTTATAACCTACCGAAATGAAGCATCCTACGAAAAAGGAAAAGATTGAATATATTCCACGATAGATCGTACCAGGCCCGTCACCCTCATCTCTCAGATTTTAATGAAAATCGGTCCTAAGGGTAATCATAGGCCCCAAAGACGCCTGGCAAAATATCAGACTTCTCAGATCAAAACTTTTTGAGTTATATTGCATTACATTTTTTTAACTTCGGTATGTAACGGTGAGTTTGATGGCCTATAATTCAAGAACGGGTTAAGCAACCAACAAAAAGTAAACAACACTAAGCTTGCGATGAATCAAAAATTAATATTACTATTTAAAAATTCCAAAGAAAAAATTTTATTGTTGAGCAAAAACCTTAATCTTTTTTCATTTGCCTCTAATGACTTTTGGGACCAAAATTTTTCACATTTTTATTTTTTCAAAATAATCTTCATGTCATTGCAAATCGACATGCAAAAAATTAGAAAGGTGTTCTTTCTATAAGTTCCTCATTTTCCCGCAAACAAAATGAGATTCGGAGGGGTTGATACGACCCCAGCACGCTGTTTCGCTTCTAATAGAGCTAGAGCCTCGCGGAAAAAACGAGCGTGTGTGCCGTTACAAGTCGCAGCGATTGATACCCGATTTTAAGGTCTCAGGTTAACCGGTAGCGTCTGAGGTCAGGTCACGTGACTGAAGTTACGGGTTCGGTTTTTAGTAAATAACCCGTATTTGCCTCTGAGGGCCCCGCACTGCCTTCTGAATGATCGATGCCTGTCTCTGAGGACCCATACCGGTCTTTGAGGGCCGTGTACACGGGGCGCCGCATTGGATGCGTGTAGAACTAGTCGATAGGTAGGTACAGCAGAAATACGGGAGGGCAGATTTCTGCCTCACTCGGACCTCCCCCCCACCCCCACCCCCACCCGCGGGGCGTGAGATCCCGCTAATCTGCGCTGCTAGTGACGGCATAATAGCGGCATCACAATTTGTTTCTCAGGTTCATGGCTACCGGTAGTTTCTACCACGTCATGGGCGACGCGCACGGGCCCAGCAAGGCGACCGTGTGTCGCGCTGTGCGCAGGGTCACTGCAGCACTCGTGGCTCGCCTCGGCAGTGTTTTACACTTCCCCAGAAGTGTGGAGGCCTGCCAAGAACAGCAGAACGCCTTTTTTGATGTCGCTGGCCTGCCATCGGTCATTGGTAAGCATGTTTCATAAATATCGACAGTTCCGAGCAAGAACATCCTAAGTGTCAAATTTTTCGAAATTGAGATGTTCATACCATTCGACTCAGCTCGTCGAGCTGAGTGGAATGGGATAAAAATCTCAACTTCGAAAAATTTGACACTAAAGGATGTTCTTGCTCGCAACTGTCTATACAACCAGTCATGCATTGTATGTATTGTATGTATTACCTTCATGGACAATCCACGCGGGGCGTGGCGATTACAGTCACAGGCATTCGTGTGGACCATCGCGCTGTGCGATCGCTCGTACCAATATTTTTTTTTTTTTACAACTAGGTACGCGTATGCCTAGCAAGCCTAGAAATGTAGGTACTGCCTTTCAGTGACGAATTTAATTTCGTCTTTCGTTTGCTTTCTTTTATGCTGCATCGATGTCAGCCATATAAGCGTCAAGGTGCCAGCGGCCGAGGAGGACCATTATATAAATAGGCACCAGAAAGCAGGGTACCCAGGAAACATGCCGACGTCGGCCGACGTCGGGGTGACGTCGGCAACTCGGCATCAGCATGCCGACGTCGGCCCGACGTCGGTCCAACCTCTGCACGACGTCGGCTGGATGTCGTATATGCCCGCATGTTCCGACGTCCAGCCGAGGTCCAGCCGACGTCGGGCCGACGTCGGACCGAGATCAATTGCTGAGGTCCAGCCGACGTCGGGCCGACATCGGCCGCTGTTTTGACCGTTAAAATCATATAAAATACATGTTTCATGTTTCATAAAGAGCTTCTGTATTCAAAATATCCTCAGGAAACTCAAATCTTCCTCCACGCCGCAACCCCCTGCTCCGGACTGGACGGGAAACTTTATCCCATTTGGGATTGCCCGTAAGCCGAGCTCGCCCGTAGCCGGGTGCGGTGAGTGCTTGGGGGCTGCTCGGCCTATCCTTTGGTCAGGCTCAGCCCCGGCAACTCACCAGGGCCGGGCCCAGTTCATATAGAAAGGCCAGTCGGCAAGTGTCACTTTGCCAAAGTGCCACTTATCAAAGGGACACTTTGGGAAACGTTGGTACAGGTGTATAAGAGTGGCTATATGAACCCATTGTGGGGTCGCCCTTTCCAATAAGTGTCACGTAACAGCAATGGGACCAGGGACTCTATATGAACTGGACCCAGGGTGCTCGCCAAGAAGACCAATGTCTCCATCCTATGATCCTTCCGGCTCTGATATGGTCTTGTCAGACCGAAAGGGCATAACCCAACAAAACAAGCCTGATTCGTTAGCTGGCTGCGTGGTGTAGTGGTTAGCGCACTAACCTCGCGTTCGAATGGCATGGGGTTCGAATCCCTTCGCCGGATGATGCTTTTGGCGTGTTGTCCCAGTAAACATGCCGACGTCGGCGACTGGGGGGCTCGAATCCCGCCGCCGGTTGATTTTTTGGCGCGTTGTCCCAATAAACATGCCGACGTCGGCCCCGTCGGTCCAACCACAAACGATCTCGTCAACCTCGGCAAACGATCTCGGCCCAACGTCGGCTCGACGTCGGCTGGACTTCGGCTGGACGTCGGAACATGCGGGCATATCCGACGTCCAGCCGATGTCGGGACGAGGTTGAACCGACGTTGGGCCGACGTCGGGCCGAGCCTCGGCCCGACGTCGTCATGTTTACTGGGTACATTGAAGTGTAGGACGAACTTTGGGAGGAATTTCTAGTATAACTACTAGATATCCTACTATATGTAGTCGGGACTAGCAGATTTGTTGTTGAAACTAGAATATGGTATCGGGCACGTAATGCAGCAATGGCGCATCAGTGACATTTGTTTTTGACAACGTTGTTATTGATGTTATTTATGATATTTTGCTTGATAGGTATCAATATCAGGTATCAGTAAGAACTAAGAGTAGCAGTATGCGTTGACGGTTCCACTTCAGGCGTTGTGTGGGCATATTTTGAGTCATTTTGGAAGTAAATTTTTTGACATGCCTTATTGTGCTGTGCCTGGATGCAACAATGGCACTGGTAAGCGGAATTCAAACCCTCCTGGCACCACCTACCACTGCCTTCCTCGTGATTCCGCTATAGCTGACAAGTGGTGGCAAGTCGTGCGACGTGACGAGATACTGAGTGTGGTGAAAGATCCCAGGATATGCTCCCATCATTTCCCTGATGAGGCCTTCAAGCTGGTTGCTGCCAGCCCTGGATCTGAAGCTCCACAGCGCAGAGTCCTCCTTCCTTCAGCTACGCCTTGTCTGCATGTTCCTGCATCCCATCCATCAACGTGGGTTTGTTTTCCTGTCATTTCCTTTAATTACCTAAATATTTCAGCCATTTTTGTACTAATTCAAACCAAAACTAATTTAATTGCATTTTTGTCAATGTCAACATAGGTTAACCTATTTTCATACTGTTATTGCCTTTATTCTACATAGGTACGCTTCCATCAATTACCTACATTGCATACATGGAAATACTTTTTTCATATATTTCATCTATACGTAGCTCAGGCATGCCTGCCATTTTCCTCTTGCCCATTTCTCTGGTATGATTATAATATTCCTCAGTCAAAGAACATTGTTATTTTTGTTTCTTCTGAAATATTGTGCATATCATTACTTTGGTAGGAAGGTACCTAGGTACTACCCAGGGCTTGCCCGGGACCCTGTTTCACGGGTCAGCAGCGTGCTGCCAGTGCTTTTCGAGAGGTGACGCCATATGGTCACATGACACTAAGGACCATATTGTGAGCTCCATGAGCTCCTTCATAGCTGAGTTTGGAACAGAGCTGCTATCGTGTTGAATACAGCAACTCTGTTCCAATCGCAGCTATGAAGGAGCTCACTGATGACATGAACCGTCCTTAGTGTCACATGACCATATGACGTCAGCTCACGAAAAGCGCTAGCAGCACCTGTGAAACAGGTCCCAGGGTATATTGAGTGAACCTACTACCTACTATTCCAATTGGGGCATTCCACGATAGATCGTACCAGGCCCGTCACCCTCATCTCTCAGATTTTAATGAAAATCGGTCCTAGGGGTAATCATAGGCCCCAAAGACGCCTGGCAAAATATCAGACTTCTCAGATCAAAACTTTTTGAGTTATATTGCATTACATTTTTTTAACTTCGGTATGTAACGACTGAGTTTGATGGCCTATAACTCAAGAACGGGTTAAGCAACCAACAAAAAGTAAACAACACTAAGCTTGCGATGAATCAAAAATTAATATTACTATCTAAAAATTCCAAAGAAAAAATGTCATTGTTGAGCAAAAACCTTAATCTTTTTTCATTTGCCTCTAATGACTTTTGGGACCAAAATTTTTCACATTTTTATTTTTTCAAAATAATCATGTCATTGCAAATCGACATGCAAAAAATTAGAAAGGTGTTCTTTCTATAAGTTCCTCATTTTCCCGCAAACAAAATGGGTTTCGGAGGGGTTGATACGACCCCAGCACGCCGTTTCGCTTCTGATAGAGCTAGAGCCTCGCGGAAAAAACGGGCGTGTGTGCCGTTACAAGTCGCAGCGATTGGCACCCGATTTTAAGGTCTCGGGCTAACCGGTAGCGTCTGAGGTCAGGTCACGTGACTGAAGTTACGGGTTCGGTTTTTAGTAAATAACTTCGCAAAAAATGGCCGCAGAGCCGCGATTTTGGCATCATTGTGTTCGCCTAGCTCAGGTGCATCGAATGGTATACTTTTTGCTAGGGTGAGGTCAACTTAAGTAGTTGACCTTGGGTCAAGGTCAGGTCAGAGCCCCTCAGGTCACGAGGCTGCGCAAAGGGTATCATATGGCATATCATTCGATTCGGAAGGTCTTCCCGAGTCCATTGGTGGCTTTCCTGACTCTCTAGCTCCATTTGATCGGGAGTTATTGACGAAAAACTCGTACGACCCTAGTGACGTCATAAATGACGTCACGCAAGGTTAACAATGCAAAAGTAAAGCATTGGACTTTGCAAGGAGTGCATGAAATCACGATACCATGTACGTGGGATAGTTTTAGATCATTCTCGGCGCCAAAATAACAGTTTTTATATTTCCCCATTGATTTATAACAGTGATGTCACGTGACCGACCTGACCTCATGTAACCTTGAAAAATTCCCAGATATACAAGTTGTGAGACCTCTGGAGGACACCATGTATGCGTCCTGTAGCTTTCATCTCGGAAAGCTATGGTCATTGGCGTCCAAAACAATGTCAGAACCAAACAGCCTTTTTCACCCTCGCGCTTATAGGAAAGAGGGTTGAATGGACCCTCTTTTCACTTTTTTCAGATGACTCAGACTTGAATTGAAATCTCAGTAACCCGTGATGTCACTAGGCAGCTTTACCACGCCATTTGTAAGCTCCCCTCCCGAAATCACTATTCGAAACCGTTATCGTGACGTAAAATAAATACATTTATAGAAAGAACACCTTCCTAATTTTTTGCATACTTCTTAACAATGAGCCAAATATTTTTTCAAAGAAATAAAAATTCAAAAAAATTTGGTCCCAAAGTCCAAAAAATACAAATGAAAGAAAACTCGATATGTCATATATCAAAAACAGCGTATTTTTCGAAATTTCAAAAATACATATTAATCTCTGTTTCATTGCAAGTTCAATGTTATATAACATTTGGCATTTGAATAATCCGTCTTAGAGTTACAGCCCGCCAAACTTAGCGCTGCAAAGCAAGATCCAAAAAATGTTATACACCATAACTCAAAAAATACTTATCTGATAAGCCTGAATTTGTTACAGGTGGATTCAGAGCCCCTGATTACCCCTGAGACCAATTCTCGTCAAATTCCGAGAGATGAGGGTGTCAAATTGGAAAAAAGTGGTACGATCTATCGTGGAATGCCCCATAAGGGAAATGTAACTGTCTTTGCAAAAGCAACTTTTGCCAGAATGATCAAAATTTAAATTCCAATCACATGGCATTTAAAAAATTATCTCTAGCGTGACCGATTTTCTTCAATTTCTTCGTAAATAAAACTGTCTCAAATAGCCCCACCCT